TCTATGACTACATTCCCTATGCTAATTACTAATGCTATCCTAAATTTCCAGGGTACGCGACGCGATAGTCACGGTACATGACTATACCATGTGACTTTTATCAGGCTAACACCGCTATAAAAATTCTAGAAGCCTATAAAGAATTGTGGTAGAGGATTAGACTGGTAATAAAAGAGAAGTGAGTTTATTAACAAGTGCCTCTAGTTAGCAAGTGACACAAGCCTCTACATACCTATCGTTACGCGATGACCTAGTCTGGATCAGTAACAGACTCGCTGTGTACTGATAATATTTGGTGTAGAACCAATTGGAAACAATGTTTGTTACCCCCCCTTCCCTCCTATAAAATTGTGCGAACAAAGGTTACACCAATCGTAGAAAAAGAAATTGTAGTAAGTAAAAAACTTAATTAAAAAGAAAAACAAAATAAGCCAAAAACGATACCTTCGAAGATCCGTACAAGGCCTTGTGACATGTTAGTGATCATAAGGATTACTAATCAAGTATAAAAAATAAGTTTTGGATTTGAAGATGATTTGGAAGAAAACCTGATCAATCTAAGTGCACTGCAAGCAAGAAAAAGATAATTCAACAGGCAGCTTAAACTCAGAATGCCAGGAACCAAGGATAAAGCTGAGGGAAAAGAGAGAAATCCACTGAATCAAAGTGCGGGAATTCAGGGGTGAAGAATTCGAAGACCTGTACGAATGGCTGGACTGTACGAAAAGGCAGCAAGATCCAACAATTAGACAAATGAAAAAAAGTTGAGAATGGTAGTCAGCTACCTAGAAGGAATGGCGGCGGACTGGTATGAAGACTACCAAGATCAACTAGAATATTGGAACAATGAGCAAGAACGCCGAGCAGTAACGTCAGTGGCAAACAGAACTGTTCGGCTTGAAACAAAAAGATTACAAGAAGGTGATGGCATATGTTCATAAATTCTGAAGGCTGCTGAGGAGGGTTGACTCCAACAGCAATTACTAGAGAATTTGCGTGGTGAATATATTCGCGAATGGACTAAAGGAAAAAATAGCGTCAGTACTTGCTGTTAGGAATGTGACCATGCTGGGCAAAGCAATCTACAAGGCTAAACAGTTCGAAAACAAGAGAAGCTTTGAAATATATCACAGTAGCAATGAAACAGAGAAAACAAGAAAAATGGAAAATGATATTCAGGAATTGCTTAAACAAGTATGGGAAATGAAAAAAAGTTATAATAAACCAGCATTAGGAGAATACAGTGCGAATCGATCAAAACCTGTAAACACAAGCAAGCGGAATTGCTTTACATGTGAGGAAAAGAATCATATCTCTAGATATTGCTTCAAGAAAGATTAACTGGCAAACGAGTCCAACCAAGTTAACGTAGTTCAGTTTCTCGACGTTGAAAATAATAGAAGAACTGAGGGGAAGTCTATGCTGGTGAAAATCAAGATATAAGAGGGAAAAGAAAGGAAGCATTTAAGCCAGGTTCACAATGAGATAGACAACTGAGAAACAGGCCAAGACGTAATTCACAAACCTATGAATACGACGATGATCAGCCATTAATCAATATAGACGAAGAAATGGAGGAAGTAATACTAGCTAATAGGAGAGCCAAGATGAAAGAGAGGACCATCAGAAATAGAAAAAACACCTTCATACAATATCCTGAAAGATATTCTATCAGCGCTCGCAACCGAGACAATTGGGCAAATGCTACAGTTCCAGGAACTTAGGAATACACTAGCAAAGGCAATGCAGAGACCTTTAATCGAAGTAGAGACAAACTACATAAGGTCAAAAGAAAAGAAAATGGAGAAGGAAAAGGAAGAAGAAAAAGAAAAGGAGACAATGGCGATAAGATGTCAAGTAAAAATCAAAGATACAAGAGTGAATGCCATCATTGACACAGAAGCTGTTATGAGCCTTATCTCGAAGAAACTGATGGATCGATTAAAGCTGAAAATCGATGAAAATTCGACAACAATAATAGTATCCATTACTGATTTGAGGACTAGAGCATTAAGAAACATTAGCAACCTTAAGATATCAATACAAGGAATGTTAATCCCAATGTCAATACAGGTAGTTGACTCCAAGGACGAAATACTGATCTTAGGAAATGATTGGTTTGAAAAGGTAAAAGCTAGAATCTACATTGATGAGCAAAAACTGGTGGTAAAATATGAGGGAAGAAAGATCAAGGTGCCTATCACGAATGACAAAGCAAGAAAGGTGCCTGTGGATGAAACCGACAGTTATGAGCTGTTTGATGAGGAATGAGCCAACAAGGTGATAGACGAAATTGTATATGAGGAAGAGAAGAGAAAAAAAAAAGAAGGATACTATACAGAGAAATCACGAAGTGATTCGGATTCCAATAATGAGAGGTGGTTTGAAGAAGCAGGACCCGCAGTGTATTTTGCTCAGATAGGAGAACTAGCATCACTAACGGAAACAGAAGTAAGCAAAAAAGGTAATAATGAAAGAAACAACAACACAAGAATCAGCCTGGAGAGAATCAAAGATGAAGCACTGACAGAAACAAGTGACAATGAACAAACTGGCAGATCAATAATCAATCATGATACCTTCCCACTATAAGATAACTCTGCAGCACCAATCGAGAAGCTCCCAACACCAATAAAGGTTTCGCAAGAAAGAGAAATAGAAGAAAGATTTGAAATGCTGAAGATGAATAACGAACTTGAAGAAGAACAAGTAAGACAAGTGAAGGCAGTGTTGAAGCAAGGGCAAGACGTGTTTGCACAATCTGTATTAAAGTTGGGCTGTACTGATGTAGTCGAACATGTAATCGATACCGGCGAGGCAGCTCCAATCAAGCAAAATGTATACCGGACTGCCCCAGATATAAGAGAATTTATTCAAAAAGAAATAGCTCATCTAGAAGAATGAGGATTGGTTCGAGAGTCAAAGAGCCCGTGGTCCTTCTCAATAGTTGTGGTACTGAAGAAAAGAGGAAAACTCAGACTATGCATAGATTACTGTAAGATAAACGTGGTAACAAAGAAAGACACATACCCCTTACTGTTGAGCGATGATCTAATTGAAGCCTATGTTAATGCATGATGATTTAGTGCAATAGATCTTATGTCAAGTTACTGGCAGGTCAAGATACTCGAGAAAGATAGGGATATCCAGAATAATCAGGAAGAGCACGAGACTGTACCAACTCCAAGAAAATCCATCGATGGAGTAGTGATGGTGATAACTAATATAGAACACTTACTTGCACGGTATGATACCGTCAGACGTAGCCACTTGCTTGTGATGTGTCAACAACGAACGATCATATCTCGGTGCAAGGCTGTGGAACCATGGATAGTGTGGAATCTAAATATAACTATTACTGAAGCTGAGCTCAATAACATCACCGTAACCGGAAGAGTATGTGTTGTGGTTAATACAATTCATACAAGCAAACAAAGGTAAATGTGTGGCGAACAAACCAGTCTGTAAGAAAGTCCCAGAGTATTCACTTGCCACGTGATTCAGAATGGAAAATTGGAGAAGACATTAACAGATCAGCCATGCCAAATCCAGTAAATGTGCGTGTCAACAATGCTAGTATTAGATGAACAAAGGCAAATAAAGAATGAGTGAATCAACAGGTAAAAATGTTGCAGGATCCTGGCATCTTCCGTCACACAACACGGCAATCTGAGGAGGCTAATCAAGCTACCACAACTGTCAGTGTGCACAAGTTACATTCAAGGAAACAATAGATGACGACACCTACTATAAAGAATTCGACATCGGAAGACTAGCCGAGACAGAATGCCAAGTGACCACCAATAACAACAATAGAAACAAAAAGCAAAAAACACGTCATGACCATAATCAAGACCTAGCAGAACCATCCAACATTGAAAATCAGGTGCTGATGTACCATGCAGCACTAGAAGCCTTAAGAAGTAGCCAATGCATCAAAAATGGAGTAATCCATATTATGCATAGGTTATACTTACCCGAGATACTTACAGGCTGTGGACTATTGGTGGACAAGTTCTGGCAAGCCCCATTAACCCAAAAATCTGAAAACGATATTTTGAACCAATGATATAAAATGATTATATGCATGGGAGTGCATAAAATAAGCGTGGGAGAAGTGTTAGCAGGGAAAAATGTATAGGTCACTGGGATCGACATTTGTCATGTAACAGGGCGTGATTCATCGGACTCAGCATCAAGAAGTCTAAATAGTTTAAGTGGAGATTTGCAGAACGCGACGGTAGATCAGCGTACATGTTGTGACATGTATAAATAAGGAGGTTTAGCTAGTTAAAATAGGAAGTAACCATCGATATTGTATAAACTTGCAATACTTATAATTGCATTACTATAATTAATAAACTTACCTTAATTGAATATTAGCCGCTGTAGAAATCTTAGAAGCCCATAAAGGATTGTGGTAGAGAATTAGACTGGTAATAAAAGAGAAGAGAGTTTATTAACAAGTGCCTCTGGTTAGCAAGTGACACAAGCCCCTATATACCTATCATTACATGATGACCTAGTCCAGATTAGTGACAGACTCACCATGTACTGATAACAATATAAAGTCCATGAGCAACTAACTATAAGTTCTGACCACAAACAAGTAACAACTATACTGGACTGGTTCAAATATAAGCCTAACAGAATAGGCTTCAACACAACATTTATCAATTCAAGGAAGCTAGCTCTAAAAACATCAAAGCCTTTCAAGAGAACATTGAACTAGCTTGTCAAACTATCAATTCCCCAACTTGGAATTCCATGAACAACATTATCAAAACTTCTCTTGATAATAACATTCCAAAAAAATCATACACAGTTTCCACACAAAACATTGATCCCTTGAAGCACTATACCAAAGCCATAAAAGCAACAAAAAAAGCAATCAACAAAAGCAAAAATAATCACAACAATTATCTTTCTTTCAAACTCCCAAAAGTTGCAGTCAAAACTCTCCAAAAAATCACTAACAAACCTTCATACAATAAAGACTTCAAAAAACTGTTGAAAATTTTAATTAAAGAAAAGCTAGCTAAACTCAATAAAATCATCACTCTGAAAATACAAAAAAGAATCGAATCAAATTACTACAGATTTTGGGCCAGACCAAAAAATACTCTCAAAAAAGCCTTAGGCGACCTAAAGCCCTCGCTTGATTTTTCAATACTTATGGGCAGTGATGATCAATTTCATAATGATCCAAATGAGTTCACAGCTATTATTTCCAACTACTTCAAGAAAATCTTAGACCCAAACTTTTTCTTTCTGAATAATGAATGAAATGCTTCCTATCAACCACTCTACCACATCATCGACAATGCTTTTGCCAACCTTACATTACCTATTTCAGACTTGAAAATAGAGGAAGCATTTGCCAATTTGCCCAAGTGAAAAGCACCTGGACTTACTCTCATTCCATATGAAGCCTGGATCCACATCAGTACAATGGCGAAAAAGCCCATAAAAACTTTGTTCAACAACTCATTGTCATCAAGCCAAGTCCCTAAATTCTGGAAACAATCAGCAATTATCCTGTTACCAAAAAAAATTGTCTGGTTACATGATCTTATAGACACACGTCCAACTTCACTTATCAAAACAAGCAGAAAAATTTTTACAAAAATTATCAACAATAGACTTGCTATTATTAGTATAAAAATTGTAATAGGGGGCATGACGCGACATGTGGGGCCCGGGCAGCGCCGCACGGGGCATCAATCATGCATCACTCATGCATGATTGATAGGCACAGAGTTTGGGAAAGTCTGTTGGG